AAAGTGCTGGGGTTACAGGCTTGAGCCACCGCGCCCGGCAGATTTTTTTTGTATTTTTAGTAGAGACGGGGTTTCACTATGTTGACCAGGATGGTCTCGATGTCTTGACCTCGTGATCCACCTGCCTCAGCCTCCCAAAGTGCTGGGATTACAGGTGTGAGCCACCGCGCCCGGCGATTGCTGTTGTTTTAAGCAAACTATTTTTGTACTGATAACTGGAACAAAGTTTGATACCTGGAAGTGGTGCTGGTGCAACAAACCCTAATCCATAGGGCACTGGCTTTGGGCCCAGGCAGTGGGTGGAAGCTGGAAGGACCCTGAGGAGACTGACAGTGAGGGCTTATAAAATGGTAGTGCCCGGCTGGACGTGGTGGTTCACACCTGTCATCCTAGCACTTTGGGAGGCCAAGGTGGGAGGATCACATGAGGCCAGGAGTTCAAGACCAGCCTGAAAACATGGCAGACCCTTTCTCTACTAAAAATACAAGAATTAGCCAGGCGTGGTGGTGCACATCTGTAATCCCAGCTACTTCAAAGGCTGAGGCACAAGAATCACTTGAACTTGGGAGGCAGAGGTTGCAGTGAGCCAAGATTGTGCCACTGCACTCCAGCCTGGGTGACAGTCAGAGACTCTGTCTCAAAAAAAGGTTGTGCCTGTAGGTAGTCCCAGCTACTCAGGAGGCTGAGGCAAGAAGATCCCTTGAGCCCAGGAGTTGAAGGCTGCAGTGAGCTATGATCATGCCACTGCATTCCAGCCTGCACGAAAGAACAATACCTTGTCTCTAAAATTAAAAATAAAAGGATAGGAAGGCAACTGAAAGTTGGAGGTAAAGGTGTAGTGGCAGGCAAACTTGGCAATGTTGTTGTTTGTCGTTAGGCAGAAAATAGGAAATTTCATATCCTTCCACTTTTTGATAGAGTTGTTTTTTTTTTCTTGTAAATTTAAGTTCCTTGTAGATTCTGGATATTAGACCTTTGTCAGATGGGTAGATTGAAAAAATTTTCTCCCATTCTGTAGGTTACCTGTTCACTCTGATGATAGTTTCTTTTGCTGTGCAGAAGCTCTTTAGTTTAATTAGATCCCGTTTATCAATTTCGGCTGTTGTTGCAATTGCTTTTGGTGTTTTAGTCATGAAGCAAAGGAAGATATTTATGTGGCCAACAAATATGTGAAACAAAGCTCATCATCACTCGTCATTAGAGAAATGCAAATCAAAACCACAATGAGATACCATCTCACGCCAGTTAGAAAGGAGATCATTAAAAAGTCAGAAAACAACAGATGCTGGTGAGGCTGAGGAGAAATAGGAAAGCTTTTACACTGTTGGTAAGGTGTAAATTAGTTCAACCATTGTGGAAGACAGTGTGGCAATTCCTAAAGGATCTAGAACCAGAAATACCATTTGACCCAGCAATCCCATTACTGGGTATACACCCAAATGATTATAAATCATTCTACTATAAAGACACATGCACACATATGTTTATTGCAGCACTATTTACAATAGCAAAGGCTTGGGACCAACCCAAATGCCCATCAGTGATAGACTGGATAAAGAACATGTGGCACACGTAAACCATGGAATACTACGCAGCCACAAAAAAGAATGAGTTCATGTCCTTTGCAGGGACATGGATGAAACTGAAAGCCATCATCCTCAGTAAACTAACATAGGAACAAAAAATATCACATATTCTCAGTCATAAGTGGGAACTGAACAACAAGAACACATGGACACAGGGAGGGAAACATCACACACCTGGGGCCTTTTGGGGGTTGGGGCAAAGGGAGGGAGAGCATTAGGAGAAATAGACTAATGCATGCGGGGCTTAAAACCTAGATGATGAGTTGATGGGTGCAACAAACCACCATGGCACATGTATCCCTATGTAACAAACCTCCACGTTCTGCACATGTATCCCAGAACATAAAATAAAAAAAAAAGAAAATGGGAAATGAACCTAATGAACCCCCTGATCTAGGATCTAGGGAAGATTTCGGCCCCTTCTCATTGCTTATAATAACATGTGAGAGGAGAAGAACTAAAGAGTTAGAGTTGAGTTTAAAAGCTAGCAATAAAATAAATAACTAAATAAAAATGTTTGTGCACACACACACACACATCGGCATCGAATCTTTAAGTATTGAAAGCCATGAGTTCATGTGAACATAACCAATCCCAATCATTCTAGTTTCCTCTGATTGTGCCTTTAGCCCTTTTCCGTGTCCTTATGAGCCTTGCTTATTCACTGCATCCCTGCATGCAGAATCTTCCTCTTCCCATGAGGTTGTGAATTGCTCCTCCAACTCACCACTTGCCTTCTAGCCTGTTTCCATTGCTGCAGCATCCTGCACCCCAGCTCTGAGCCTCCACTTCTGGCTGCTCCCGCGTGGACACATGTGGAAAGGCAACCCCTGCGTGCATGCGCCGTCGTCAGCCTGAGCAAGCTCTGACCTCCAGGCTTGGCCACCTTCTCACTTGTGTAGACCCCTACAGCAGTGGTTCTCAAACTTTAGCAGCATATCAATTTCCTGGAGCATGCATTTTACAATATAGATTCCTGAGCCTTATTTCTGGAGAGTTTGATTCAGTAAGTAGGTTGGGGTGGGGTGAGTAAAGCCGTGTCTAAGTCAGCATCCTACTGATGTAAGGGTGAGAGCACCACACTGAGAAATGCTGCCATCCCTGGCAGGCAGTATGCTTTGTTTAGAGTGGATGCTTGAAAATGTTTGTTGTGTTGGCGACGACTCAGCTATTTTCACGGCAAGGCAGGGAATTGTCAAAGGTTGGAAGTAGGTAGCGATTGTGCCTGGAATAGCTCAGTGGTGTGCTCTCCAGAGGCATTTGCCTGCTTCTGTGGCCACTGCTAGTGATCTCCACAGCCAGGCTGAGCCTGGCCCTGTTACCACCGAAGGGCAGTGCAGACCAATCATTGTCACTGCATCAGAGGCATCAAATGGCGTAGCCTGACCTTGGCTTATTGTTATTGTGTATTTCTGGGCAAATCAATGTTAAAGCATCTACACACCTTGAAAACATGGCTTGCTTGGCAAATTCTACTTCTCCTGGAGACACTGCAATCATCTGACCGGTGAGTGTTAACCGGACACATCGGGGATCCTCCGGGTCAACGATGTTTTTTCTGCATGTGAAAAACATTTTTTGTATATTAGAAGAAGGATAGGACATCAGCTGCAATTCTAAGGATTTTATAAAATTTAAAATAGTCACATTCCTGGTTATATCATTCAGGTTATGTTACAGAGAATTACTTTAAAATACTCAGGCAGAGGCTGTGTAATAGGTGCGCTTGTGTAGGTGAGCTATCAGTTTGGTTCTGGGGCAGTGAGATAACATCTGAAGTATGCTAGCCAAAAGTGCACATTTGAGGGTGGAGGAAATTCAGGTGGGAAAGTTCCCCGATCTCCTCCAGAGACTTGCGACAGCAGGGTAGGCTGTGGTTTGGCAGGTAGGGGTGGCTTGTTTTGCTGAGCTCAAACCCTTAGAGGAGGGGGAGTACACAGGTGAGCAGGTGCAGGAGCTGGGGCAAGTGCCTTTAGGCACTGGTAGGAATGAACCTCGTACCAGCCTGTGGTGGCATCTAACAGTTGCCTGCAAACTCTGGAGCCCCAGAGGGCATGTGTTAAAAACAGTGCACTTTTAGTGGTTGCCGGGGATGGCTAAGTGTTAACCAGCATGGTGGAGAGTCAGGGTGTTGTATACCCTGCCCTCTTGGTACCTGGGTTCTTGTCCGGCAACCAGGAAGAATCAGGCCATGCAGACTTAGAGGATGGTGAGTGCAGAGGTTTTATGAAGCAGTGGAAGTGGCTCTCAGAGGAAGAAGAGCTGGAAAGGGGCTGGTGCAGGAAGGTGATCTTTCCCTGAGGCCTGCCCATCTCCAGCCAGGCTCCTCTCCAAAGTCTTGTCATCTGAAGTTAAGCCATGTCTATCCATAGTCTCCAACTCTCAGTTACTTCTTCTCTAGAAGTTCAGCTGCTCTTCCCAATCCCAGCTAAGGTCCATGGTTTATATAAGCACAGGATGTGGAGGTGGGGCAGACCAAAAAGCAACATTCAGGTACAAAAACAGGAATGCCTGTTTTCATTTAGGGCTGTGTGTCCAGGCTTAAGGGTGGAGCCCTTGCCAGGGACCCTGCCCTTTTGCCTCCCATCCATATCAAAATGGGGAGTTATTATAAAGGGAAGGATGTCTCAATTCTGCTATGAATCAGTTCTAGAGATCTGCTATCCAGCATAAGAGTTCACAAAATGATATTGTGCACATAAAAATTTACTAAGAGGGTAGATCTCACGTTAGGTGGTTTTTTTTTTTTTTTTTTTTTTTTTTTTTTTTTTTTT